GAGCACGACACTGGAGGGCACAGCATTACCAGCATTACTGAGAGATACGAGTAATGTATAATATGTGCCACCAATACGTTCATCACTGATCTGAGCACAGAACCCACCACGGGCTGATCTCTGCGCATAGGTAAAGGCATCATCAAGGCCAAGAAGAAGAAAGAGAAGAAAATAGAAGACGGCTGGATATGAATATAGACGATAGGCAAAGAAAATAAATATGGCAATGAACCCACATAAAACAAGTCGAGGAACATAAGATCGAGCGAAGAAGATCAATGGACGAGGCGTTCGCGTGAGAAGAAGAGGTACAATGGTTTTCACTATTATGAGAGGCATCATAACCAGGCCAAGTGTGCTTCGTGTGATCAAACCCTGACTTAAAAAGAAAAATGAAGAAAAGCATATAGGCATATTTATTCGATTGTTTACTTGTTTTCGCAGAAGTGGGAAAGACATGCAAAAAAGATCATGTGATCTAAGTGATTTTGCGAACAAAGATTTGAATTTTATCTATTAACTCATATCAACACCCTCGAGTTCATTGTCTCAATACTATGTTAAATGATTGCTCAGTAAAAATAGATGAGAAAATTTCGCGCTTATTGTGAAGCGAAATCCCGATTCTAGCGTACGTCAAAAAGAAAATATTCTTCACTAACCTGATTAATGTGAGATGGGTCATAGACGCGGTGGCTATATGGCCTATATGACAAGTGATAAGAATAAAGGCAAATTGGCGAAAGCACTTCTTCTTGAATAGTCTGACAATGGACAAATATGTATCAAGCAAACTCAAGCGATCTTCACTTTGCTCATGATCATTTGCATTGACACTTTGTTGTTCTCGTAAGAGTATCAAAATAGCGAGAGGCAACAGTAAACAAGCGATACCCCAGAATCGTACGAAATGAGCCAGAGTAAAAAGTCCATACGACTGAGTAGCAATGCCTAACGGCTGGCGAAGCAATTGATTAGTCATATTAGCCGATTCGAACGTAAGGAGAATTGATGAGCCAAGAAAACCACCGAACTGTTGTCCTATCATCTGTAAGACTGACTGCCAGATAACATTGGGTCCAGCAAACAGAGTCAATGCCCACCCATCAACGCAAATGTCGTGTGTAGCTGTGAAGAAGACGATACAAAAGAAAATGATGGTCAGTTCGAGAGCACGCAGTTGAATGAGCAACGAATCAATATGAAAAGAAAGAATAATCAACATTGAACCGATCAAAATTTCAATGGGTAGTAACCAGGTTTGCCGTCGACCCAACCAAGGAATGTAAAAGGCATCAATCAAAGGAGCCCACAATAGTTTCAAAATGAATGGATACTTGACAAAAGATAATGTGCCTTGTTGCTTCCATGTGGCACCGTAGGAAGCCAAATAGATCGATACAGAACTACTTAAGCCCAATATTATACCTTGTACTAGGTAAAGTACAAGTATGACAAAAATACACACGATGAGCGGTGGTTGCGATCGAGCCTATGTACGAGAAAAAAAGAAATCGATGATCGTGTACGAAAGATAAAATTCGCTTACAATTCTTTCTCAATTGAAGTTTATTTTAAAACTCGATTAAGCTGCTCACTGACATTTTAGAATGAATTAAGAGCTTAGTTTGTTTTTTTTTTAGTTTTGAAAATTTTTTGAAATATAACTTTTTCAATCAATTCAGAAATTTTCGGACGATAGTGTAAAGTACAACTGCAAACAAAATCGATTTTCTGATGAAAAACGGCACTTTTAATGCATATGTTGAGTGCAGCAATGTTAGAGGTCCAAAAAAAATGTCCAGTTTACTTAAAGTCCGCTAAGAATATGTGGAATTTTACATACTTTATGAAATATCACAGATATGAGTAGTTATAGAAAAAGCAAAACATGAATACTTCACCATTGGATATTTCTTTCTTTCAGCAGATTTTTCGCTTCATATGAACTGATTCACTGACATGAATTTAACTGAGATTTGAATAAATTTAAATCAAATCGTGAAATCCATTATATATATATATATATATCGTGCCAAAGTTACACCGATTGTCGAAGTTACAACTTAGACGGATACATTTATCGAAGTTATAACTTAGACATTCATATTTTGGCGAAGTTGTTTTTAACATATAAATCAATAAGTGTATGCATTACGATACATCTTAATACCATCGGGTACAGTTCTCGCATATGTGCTACGTTCATAATGTTCTGTCAACTGGCGAAAATCCACTCAACTTTCACCAACACTAGCAAAAGTCTACCACACTCTCGCCAAATAATTGGCGAAAGTTTAGTGGCCTTTTGCCAATTAGTGAAGGTTCAATGGACATTCGCCAATATGCCCTTCGGACTTTCGCCAATAACTGACGAAAGTCTCATTGGTAATGAGCGGGAATCTCTTTATCTCACATCTGAGCCTTAATAAAGGTAAATGGTATATTTTTACCATCGGCATTATAAATGTAATTATTTATTATATATTAAATAAATGATAGTGAATTTGAAGCAGAACAACTGGAACGCTAATGATTCAAATCCGACCGGATCCTGTCGAATCTCTTAATTTTCGTCAGAGGATCCGATAAGACTTTGTCGGATCCAATAGGATCTTTTCCCGGTCCTATATTCATCGAATTTTGGGTCACTGAATTTCGAACTCACTCTGATAGAATTCAACCGGAAGAAATCGGAATCCGACCGTTTCCGACATAAGCCGACATTGATTCTGAATGGATCCGACAAGATTCAATGATTGGATTTCTCCATCTGGGTTCTTATGATTTTCTGTATCACTGGAAAATTTTCGCTGACATCCTGATAAATTGCTTGGTAATCGCGGCTCCTATATTGTCACCGTGATCCGCGTTTGTGAGAGCACGATTTCTTCTCGTGCCTCTCAGCGACTTTCATACTACTTGAATCTGTCAGCTTTCATCCTGACAGATTTTTCTATTCTCCGAAGCTTTTTGGGGTTGTTTTCTATGGATTGCTCGGTGGTCCTGAGGTTTTCAGCACTGCCCTGACAAATTGGTGAAAAGGCCGAAATCTTGCACACAGACTTCGAAGCATGACTATGTAATTCAAAGTTTCTCAGCCTGAGTTTCGCTCCTAGTCGTTCGGAACGAAGCTGTTTCGTCAACAGTTTAACGAATTGCCTCGTGGTTCAAAGTGATTGACCCTTGATGTTTCACATAACTGTCATCAGCCAAGGTTGTCCTTCTAACTCCTTAAATCAATAAGTGAATCAAAGCTTTCTATCCTCACTGTGACGGATTTCGCTATGGTTAGAAGCTTTTCGTCGCTATTATCACGTATCCACCCCTGACAGACAGATTCTGGCCTTCATCCGTGCAGATTGGTTTCCGACCGGAAATTCTTTCAATACTACTCTTACTCATACTCAAAGTTTACCATACTTTACGTCTTTCTTTTTTATACGTGATCTCATTGAAGTTACCGTTACATTATACAAATTTTCGTTTCGAATCTCTTCAATAACTGAACTAGATGAAAAAGAGTGAGAGAAAACAAAGAACCAGACTGTTCGTAGTCTCTTGGCGCTAAGTGTGTAAAATTAAAAATAGTTTCTTTGGCATTTCGACTTTTTCTAATAATTTACTCACCACCATTAAGTAATTGAACCCTAAATATGTTGAGTATAGTTGATAGTATGATGTTGTTGTTAGAATTGTTTTGCGCTTTACACCGATGCCGAGGTTTTTTTCGAATGATTCGTATCTTACTTCTGCAGCGTGTCAAACCTTTATCTTTCGTTGTTGTGTGCGTTTGCCTCCTTCTTTTCATTTTTCTAAAATTCTTATCACATAGGCACTCTATGATAAGGACATCACACAGTAGCAATGAAGCTTGCACCAAAAGAAAAGACAACAAGTGACGCCTAAGAGGGGTGCCGGCGTGGATGTGAGTGTACGTCTTGTCTCACGAGGGAACTACTCCAACTGATTACGAGCTTTTGGTTTCATCTTTCGGCTACAGGTACGCCTTAGTGAGACTAACAAAACCATAGGATGCAGTGTGGGCTGTGTGGGGGTCGGTATGCGTGTACATCAAAAGATTACACACGCTTACACCCACAGCGGGTGTGGGTGCGGGTGTGCATCAAAAGATTACACATGCTCACACCCACACTCACGCTGGGTGTGGATGTGGTGTGGGTGTGGGTCAGAGATGTCGACGGATTGACCCATTTTCGGTCAACCCGCTCGATCCGTGGATTCGTCCAAGGGTTATGGGCCGGGTCAGGCCTTTGACGCGTTACCGGTTTACGGATAGCTGTTTTCTGGTTTTCTGATTTCACGGGCCCGCTTATATTTTTGGGTATGGGTGTGGGTGTGGAGTGTGGGTGTGGGCGGGTGTGGGTGTGTGGGTGTGGGTATGGGTGTGGGTGCGGGTGTGGGTGTGGGTGTGTGGGTGTGGACAAAAAGAATATCCACACCCACACCCACACCCTCACAGATTCTAGAGTACTCATATTTATTTGTTATTAATGCGTACTTGATTTGGCTATAAGTGCTTCTTAATCCACATCCTTAAGATCGAAGAGATTTATGAAAACCAAGTATGAAATGGATTTAGCGACAATCAAACCGAATCTATGCTATTAATACCGATCGAAGACATTGAGCTACTCGCGATATTTTCTGAAATCTTCTAATTCACCTGAATTATTGATACAAGTGAAATTTTTTATTAGAAAAATACAAAAGAAAATATACATATGGATAATTGAAAATATTTTGTTTAAATCAGTGACGATTTTACAGCATGATAATTCATCTTATATATACAGCAGAGAAATAGAAGTCAGAACGGTATGATGATGATGATTCCGTTGATACTTTTCGAAGGATAAAATAAGAGTCAATGAAGAATCTACACGCTTATTGACATCTTCGATCAAACTTGAATAATTCATTTTATAAATGTGTACATTTATATACAGATAGATAAGCAAATTTGAAAGTTTATTTTTTCAAGAACTATAATCCGATTCTGTTGAATATGTTATGTTTGATTGTTGCCATTGATAGTTACATTGTGATATTAATTTATGATAAGCCACATCTTTCATTCGCATTTGTCGTCGATGTCCATATGGAACAATAATAAACCAAATTATTAGTACAATATGAGCAACAATATATAACCCACCAAGTATAAAAAATACATACCGATCGATCCACAGCCAATAATTTGAAGGTTGTAGTTTTGATTGCCAATTATATGTAAACAGAAGAGAACCGATGATGGCGTGCCAGACACCGAGGATTATAACAAAAAACATAGATGCTATTGAATATTTGTCTAAAACCGTTAGATATGCAATTGGAGGCTAAATAGAAATGATCAGGATAAAATTGATATATAACTAATACTTACTGTTAGATGGGAGACACATATCGTCCAACGAAAAGCAATATGAGTTAATAGAAGAGTGAAAGCAACACCTAAACGTTGATTTGTATTTCTAAAATACAAAGTGAAATTTATCTTTATTCGAAATCTAATTAATACTCTTTCTCTTCTTTTCTTACTCAGCTGTGATAGAAAATGCAGCAAATCCAACGATAGTCATTATAAAACATATCCAATATCCATTCCAAAACATATATTCAGCTCGACGAGCTATAGTTAAATTTTTAGATTTTTATTTCACATTATTTGATTTTCTTTTACCTGCATGACAAGATATGGTTAATATACTTCGTTCTTTTTCATGTCCAGGCATATCTAATTCACCATCTTCATCTGTTTGAAATGCAAATCCTTTTACTTTTTGTATTCGTGATTCGACATGTTCGAATAAAATCCATTCTTGTAATGCAACAAATGCTTGTCTATTAATACCAGATGGTATTTTAAAATCCGGTTCTAATTCAATTTTAGTTCCGGATACGGATGAACCAAATGAAATACTAAGTTCTTGAATATCATGTGGAAAATGATGAAAATCAAATTGTGAAAAAAATAAACCTTTTACTAAACGATGTTCACGTATATAAAATGAATTATTTGTTCGATCTTTTCTTAAACTATATTGAATATGTTGATTGTCTGGATCAACATTAGTATTCATAATAAAAAGTTGCGGATGCCAATTATTTTCATCTTTTAGATAGTTCGGTAGACGAACTGTATGACCACGTGATAATATATATTGATCATGATCGTTAAGTGAAGACAAAAAATTTGGATTAGCTAACCATCGAGCTTCAATAGCAACATCAGCTGTATATCTTTCAAATTGAGTTTCGATCGGTCCTAAATAAGATCATTTATTCTTTCTTCTTCTTTTTTTTTGCAAGTGAATGAATAAAAAATCTTACCAATCTGAAGAAACATCAATCGAATTCCTACATTGATTGCATTAGATGTCTTGATTTCATCAAGAACAATATTTGAAGATATTACAAGTTCGTTCATTGAGTTAATAATATAGAAATTTTATTTATCGACGTATATAATATAATACGTAAAAAAAAAAGCCAGGTGATGTAAAAATGAGTGTGTGTAAGACACACACCTTATTGTTTGATATTTGTCTTGTTTTGATCATGCTTGTCTGGTCTCTTTTGTATAAACAAATATCTAAAGATTATATAACCGAATTTTTTTTTTCCTCTGACAATAGAAGAAAGAAAGGATTGTACATCGATTCACCTTGAATATAACATAGAGCGAACGCTGAGTACGTCGAGAGATGAATAAATAAAAAAATATTTAAGAGCAAGACAATTTTTAATATAAAATATAATTAATTAATTCCGTTCAAGAGAATCGTATGAAATGTATTAATATACCTAAAAAATAATTGTATTAATTGAACCGTCCAATACTACACATATGTTTTTATATTAAATCAAATTGTTTTCTTTTAGCGAGTTCAAATACAACTTATTTCTTACTATCAAATAGACAAATTGACATAGTTCATTGATTTTCTAATACATACATCTATTTTTATTTTTCCATCGAATAATGAACATTAAATTCTAATGATAAAATTTTTATTACAAGCATGATTAAAAGAAAATTTAATTGAATCACTTACGGATCTAAAGAACTGACTTTATCTATTCGGAACGAACAAGTCCAATTTTCTAATTCTTTCTTAAAAACACTAGAATCATTGTTCTCTCAAATTTGTTCTATCATATGAAAATTAACTGCAAAAGATTTTTCGCTTAAATCGTTTCTTCAAAATACGATCGAATGTCTGTACAAAAAGTCGGATGTTGATCTTTCTATTTGAAGAAGACTTTATACTCTCTCTCTCTCTCTCTTGATCCAATTAAACAAGATCGAAACTTGGTTTTCTCTAACTAACATCATTGGTTCACATTTCATACGACTGACTCTCACGAAAAGAAACAGCTTCATTATTGTTTTCACGACACTCTTAATTATTTATGAAGGACTGACAAATTTTCTCAAACTCATGATTTTCTCCTTTCTCTTCTTGATTATTAATAAGTTAATCGAAATATACAAGTGACAAAAATCACATATTCGAGATCGATCAGTCCTTCGCAACACGCATCTGAATACGGACATTATAATTGAACAATGGAATATTTGTCGACACAAACTAACTGCAAAATCATTTTGTGTCAGTATACCACGAACAACTATCACCAAAACTTCTTTCTTCATTTATTCGTCGCTGTAATTTTAAAAACATCAATCATTATTTTTTGGATAATTTTTGATTATTTTGAGATAGAAAGTTTAGATTTTCAGAGTAATACAGATGCGATACAAAAACACACATATGATTGAAACAAAAGATAAGGATGTCACATGACAACATCTGACTTCAAAAGTGAGAAAAAATTGATCTTGATTGAAAGTTTCTGAAAAACTTTGCTAAATCAATCAACAACGGTAATAAAAGAATTTATTTGAAGATTTTTTATTAGTTGATTCACTTGCAATAAGTTGATTGTTATTAATTCTGCTTTCGAGAGTAATTGTACAATATATACATGAATGGGATTGTTCGTCTTGTCTACAATCAATTGATCAAATAAATATCCGATTGGGTAACATTTCTGTAATGCACCAGATAGATACTAATGAATAATGACCACCAACAATCAATTGCTTCAAACATCTTTAAGAAGAATTTATTGAAGCTCTAGTATGAGAATCACTCTAGAATATCGTGATGCATAACTCATTACAGAAATGTCAACTTTATCCGCGGGTCGTTTTCGAACGAAAAATTTTAGCGCACGCCCCACACTCACACCCCACCCACACCCACACCCACACTCTATTTTGAAACGGACAATAGTTCCCCTATTAATGTGTCTAGGTCAGGTTAAACAGTATTACGACACTATGAAATTAGGGTATGGGTATGGGTATGGGTATGGATTTGAATGTAGGTGTGGGTGTGGGTGGGTGTGGAGTGTGAGATGTGGGTGTAGGTTAGGAGAAGATGCACAGCAATAGCCACACTCCACTCATACCCACACCTACTCACATTCACATTCGCATCCACAGCCACAGCCACACCCATCCTGTCAGTGCCGTAAATACTGGGATCAGTTCTATCACCAAAAAAGTCAGATGGTAATCACTTTAGAAAACGGATGTTCATCGAATGTCTCATACTTTTAGATGTCCGCCGTGGAAATCACTGCTTCAGCAAATAACGGTGGGATATTGTTGTTTATTATCTTGAAAATGAGAATGATTAGTGATGATGAGAGTTATATGAATAATATCACAGTCATCCCTCATATATTCTCACTTGTCCATAGTGTGTGCGTGTGAAGTTACTCGATATTTTAGTATAAATTTCATAATTTATTTATAAACAAAGTTTATGTCCTTCATCAGAATGAGATTTTCATTCTTTCTGCATTTCTGCCATGACATCTCAATGAAAGCATATGGATGTTTTTTAAAGAAAAAGAATGCAAGGATTTTGTGTTTTAAGGAAATTTTGTACTCTCACATTATCTTGAGTTAAAGGTTCAGCTTGATTCATTGAATTTTTGCATTATTGACCGATTTGTTCTTCAAAATGACTTTTACCAGTAAATGGAACTACCAGAAACTCATAATCTCATGAAACATCAAGTAAAAATCAGAAACGAAATATGATTTTGTGATCATTTTATCATTATCTGGTAATGAATAAGATGTTTTTTTTCGTCCACTCTCTGTATGACACCAATGTAGGTATGATCGTTTTCTCACCGAGCGATTCATAGTTTTATTGTTGTTCGAAAGATATTCGTACCCTCTTTCTATACCCTTAGTATAGAAACTTCTGGAACTATCTCGACTATTCTAAGAAATTTTTAAAAAACCCAAAAACTTTCTTGCTAATCTAATATTGTTCCATATTAAATGTTTTGGTTCTTCAGTATATAGCGTACATTGTAATTTTTTTCGTTTTCGAATCTTTTGTTCGCTTTGGTTTCTTACTTTTCTGTATTACAATATTTCAATTCGTGTTGATATCATATATGCATATTTAAGTCAATATAGAGAGAGACAGAGTTCGTTCTCTTATCTTGCTTATCTTTTCTATTTATTGCCTGTTCTATTGGGTTGTTTCTTTACATTTTACGCATTCAATAAACTAGATATGTCGGAAATTACAATTTCTTGCTCGCAAGCAACTTCATTACTTAATAATATGTTAGTACATCGTTTCGACACTATTCGTTCTGCTCAAGATCTGATCAATGCGGTGCAGAATGTAAGAATATATTTATTTAACAAAAATCTACTAATAATAACAATCACTTCTTTTATTACAGACTGGTTATATGCCAGTTCCACGTGGCTATTGGGATAAACTGAATATGGTTCGAACGGATTTAGCTGATGTTTTTCGTGCACCCATAACTACGCATTCGTTCACCTGTAATGGAGTATGTGACTAGCATTTTTTATATGAGGAAACAGACAGTTCATTTGCTCTTAGGTCAAACAATTTCATGAGCAAAATCTTGTGATGATTGAATATGAAATGAGTTTTGATGACAACATCGATTGGGAGAATGCTAGAAGAAGGTTCAGGGAATTTTTAGCTTACAAACTCAATATTGATAAATCAAGTATTGTAATTGAAGGTATCGTCTCACGTGCTGACACCTGGTACATCATGAGAAGCAATACAGTGCTTGAGACAGCACTACAGAGTATGTCACGAACTAATTTATATCTATCGGGATTGCGACTTGGTGCTTACGGCATCGGTCTGGTTATTGGTGTTATTGTTTTGACACGCGCATTA